TATATGTGTGTGTGTGTGTGTTTGTGTGTGTGTATTTATGTACTTCTTGCTATAGTCACCGTGACAAATTTAGCTGTTTGGTCGACTACTCTCGTTAACAACTATGTACCTTTATCACTATGTAGTCTTCCAAATGGCTACAAGTAGAGAATAAATGTATCACACAAGTTCCCAAATACACACACTGAAATTATCATGTTGAGAAGGGATATCATATTTTCACTCGCCTGCTTGTACTCTGCCGCAGTAGTCACTGGCGCTGCAAACGCAAAGTTTGTGATCGATGATTCTGATATGTTACGGTAATCGTGAACACACATTTAAGGTTATGTGAACAACCAAGCAACCGTCTACCTACAAACCATACACACATCACACTTAATCTCAGATACAAACACCGACGCTAGTAGGTTTATCACATACACTCAGTGTTATTCTACCTACCTGTACAGTTGTTGATATCAGATACATTCAGTGTAATTCTACCTACCTGCACAGTTGTTGCTATCACATACATTCAGTCCAGTGTATGAGTCATGACTTTGGTCGGCTACTCTGATGAGCAATTCAGTCTTAGTTGCGATACGTATGAAGATATCTGTACATGTCTACTTACACAGCAGCCACACGACGCCTGTTCCGAGTCATGCGTAGTGAGTCTTGCTTTCTGTCAGGCAGTTTATGTACATACTTGTACGTTTGTTTTCATCTCATTATATGCACATTTTTGTATGCTTGTTTCCTTCTCATTATATGTACATACTACTTGTTTCCCTCTCATTATATGTACATACTTGTATGCTTGTTTTCTTCTAATCATATGTACATACTTGTACACTTTTCTTATTATATGTACACGCTTGTATGCTTGTTTTCATCTCATTATATGGACATACTTGTATGCTTGTTTCCTTCTCATTCTATGTGCCTTGTATGCTTGTTTCCTTCTCATTATATGTATGTACTTGTACGCTCGTATACTTCTCATTGTAGTCACCGGCGCGGATAAGTAAAAGTGGGTCGACGAGTCTTATGTACGACCGTATCTGTGTATTTCTTCTGTACCCATACACTTCTAACACATCCACTTTCAACACTCATTCCACGCATTCCCAGATACACCTACCCCATCTCGCATGTCTTCTAGCACTTTGGGAGTTGGGTGTTTGTGTATGTCAATCTGCATGCATGCGCATATGCACAAAACACACGTGAGTGAGCACCACATACATACCATCCCCTCAGTATATACCTCCCTTTGTTCATTGTCCTGCTCTCCCCTGTAGTCACCGGTGCGGCCCAGGTGAAGTTCTTAGTGGACGACCCCGAGATGCTCCACAGGGCCGCGGAACAGTTTTTGGGCAAAACTGTGAGTGAGGTTAAAGACGTGGTGCTGCAAACCTTGGAGGGTCATCTGAGAGCCATTCTGGGCACACTCACGGTCGAAGAAGTCTACCAGGTAGGTGCCTAGGCGTAGAACTAGGTGGATCCTATATATGTCTCTTATATATATATATATATATATATATATTTATATTTATATAATTAAATATTTATATATATATACACATATATATGTATATGTGTATGTATATATTTACATTTGTGTACGTATATATACACATGTACACACACACACACATATATATATATATATAATCTAGGCGTAGTTCTAGGTGAATCCTATATATGTCTCCGTATCTATGAGGGGTTGTAAGTGATTCGGCCCGCCCCACTCGTGAATGTTTTCACGTGGATGTGGCTTGTACTGTATACATCTGTGTAGTGAAACCACACGTGTACGTCACATGTATTGCTGTACCTGATTGTGCACCCATCCGTCTATCTTTCTATATATAACCCTACACCTTAAACCCTAAACCTCAACCCTATAAATGAAGTGTGTGGTAGCCAAAATCCTAAAAACCCTGATGGTGCACCCGTCCGTCGTACACAATGAAGTGTGTGGTAGCCAAATCCCTAACCCCTAAAACCCCTGATGGTGCACCCATCCGTCTACCTATCTATGCACACAATGAAGTGTGTGATAGCTTCATATATTATCGTGTATCTGCATCAGGCCCTCCGCTCGGCCTATTTGTTCATTGTACCAGTGTGTACTGTACGTGCAAGTGTGTTGGAATCATTAGCAGGTACCCCTGCACCCTGGCTCTCGTCTGTATGGCATCTGATATAGTTGATGCTCTTCGGTTATTTGTGTTTTGCCTGCGATTAAATGTAGTCTGTTTTAAATGGTTTATTGGTTTGGGCATGTACCGGGTTTTCGATATTGTTTTGGTTCTGTGCTTTAGATAGATAGATCTATACTAGCTACCTATCTATCTATCTATCGATCTATACTATCTACTTATCTATCTATCTATCCATCTATCTATTATCTATATATCTATCTATTTGTCTATCTATTTAGTTAACTATCTATCTGTCTATCTACTTTCTGTCTTGCTTGCTGCACATCTTCTGCTGGTAAATTGTGCAATTCCTGCGATGCGTCCAATTCGAGAGTATCAACCTCAATTCCAATCTACAAACCTAAATTCTTGATTTGTTGTATTCCGGATATTCTTTCTCATTTCAGGACCGAGAGAAGTTTGCGTCGCAAGTCAGAGAGGTGGCTGTCACCAACGTCGCGCGTATGGGTATTGACATCCTCAGTTTCGTCATCAAGGTATCCACAAAGAAGCGAACGTATACTGGCTTCTCCGTGGCTCATATATATGTGGGAATGCTTGTTTCGTCATGGCATTATGCTACGTATATTGGCTTCTCCATGACTCATATATATGTGGGAACGCTTGTTACGTCATGGCATTAAGCGAATGTATATTAGGCTTCTCCGTAGCTCATATATATGTGGGAACGCTCGTTATGTCATGGCGTTAAGCGAATATATATTGGCTTCTCCGTGGCTCATATATATGTGGGAATGCTTGTTACGTCATGGCATTAAGCGAATGTATATTGGCTTCTCCGTGGCTCATATATATGTGGGAACGCTTGTTACGTCATGGCATTAAGCTATTGTATACTGGCTTCTCCGTTGCTAATATATATGTGGGAACGCTTGTTATGTCATGGTGTTAAGCGAGCGTATATTGGCTTTTCCGTGGCTCATATATATGTGGTACTGCTTGTTAATACTGAGATATGAATGTAGTCATATTGAGTTATGAATGTAGTTATAATCAGTGATGAATGTAGTTATAATGAGAGATGAATGTAGTTATAATGAGTTATGAATGTAGTTATAATGAGTGATGAATGTAGTTATAATGAGTGATGAATGTAGTTATAATGAGTTATGAATGTAGTTATGAGTTCAGGTTTGTTCCTCGCTGGTGGTGGTTGTTTGAAGAAGTACACACAACACGGAAAGCCTTCAACTGAGTCCGTTCCGTTATATAGCGTTTGGATCATATCGCTGGGCTGTATTATTACTGCCGATCGATGTCAATGTGGGTAGTTCCGTCGGTGATTTCAACTGTATAGTGTAAAACTAACCCCCAAAACCCTAAAGCCCTAGTATAACTTCAAACCCCTAAAACCCTAAAAGTGTTGGATATGATGTCGATTGTCAAATCGCTGGTACATTACTGCTGCACAACATTGTCGGTGATTGTTGATTGTACGTTTATATCACAACTGCCGCGCCTATCAAACCCTAAAACCTTAAAACCCTAAAACCCTAAAAGGATATTGAAGATGACGTAGATTACTTGACCTCTCTGGGAAAGAAGCGTACAGCTGAGGTGAAGAGAGATGCCGACATTGGTGTTTCTGAGGCTGAAAGGGATGCCGGAATCAAAGTGAGTGCATGCATAGCTTATTGTTGATTTTTTAATATAACAGGTGCAGAACACCTTATGTAGTTTTACACATACACATGGGTATATATATATATATATATGTGTGTGTGTGTGTGTGTTGTTGTTTTTGTAAATACAAATATATATGTCTATGCATATATGATATATATGTATATATATATA